GACATGTGAAAACACGCGGTTCCAGCTCGGAACCACCATGTTAGATGCTCACCTGGGTGGCCTGCACACGTGAAAACACGTGGTTCCAGCGCGGGACCACCATGTTAGATACCCCCTGGGTGGCCTGGGCACGTGAGAACACGCGGTTCCAGCTCGGGACCACCATGTTAGATACCTCAATGGTGGCTTGGACACGTGAAAACACGCGGTTCCAGCTCAGGACCACCATGTTAGATACCCCCCCTGGGTGGCGTGGATACGTGAAAACACGCTGTTCCAACGCGGGGCCACCATGTTAGATACACCCCCTGGGCGACCTGGACACGTGAAAGCAAGTGGTTCCAGCTCGGGACAATCATGTTAGAGATCTCCCTGGGAACCCTGAGCATGAAAAAACACGTGGTTCCAGCTCGGGACAGCCATGTTGGATACCCCCCGACGTGACCTAGATACGCTGAATTCGCGCTCCCGCTCAAGACATCCTCGCAATGTCTTCCCTGGAAAGGCCCCCAAAGCGCAAGCGCAACCGCCTGTTCAGAGCAAGAAGACATCGCGTTTCTGTATTGGGACATGTGTTCGGGTAGCGCGTTTCGACCCCCCGTGCGTTTCCTCATAATTCTGCGTTGGGCCCGACGCCATGTTGGATACCCCCCTGGGCCGCCTGAAAACGTAAACTGATCTGGATCTTAAGCTCGAGCTGCCTCAGCACATGGTAGCCGCCCCAGAGCTAATTGACAGGGGAACCTGCCAGGAGGACGCGCCGCGGAACGCCCCAAGGGACGCGCCAAGCGACCTGCCAGAGGACGTGCCACGGGGACGCACCGCGGGACGTGCCAAGGGGACGCGCTACGGAACACGCCAATGGACGTGCCACGGTGCTTGCCAGGGGACGCGCCGCGCGACGTGCCAAAGAAACTCGCCACGGACGCGCCACGGTGCAATGCTGAGTGTATCGATCTTGATGTACAATGCTGAGGGCTGTGCTGTCCTGCGCCGTGCTGAACTGCGATGTGCTATGCCGCGATTGTGCTCTACATAGCGTTCTGGATCGAGTCTTCCTTTGTATCCCAGTCCTGACCGAACTGATCTGGATCTTCAGCTCGAGCTGCCTGAGCACACAGTCCACATAGTAGCTGCCCCAGAGCTAATTGACAAGGGGACATGCCAGGAGGACGCGCCGCGGAACGTCCCCAGGGACGCGCCAAGCGACGTGCCAAAGGACGTGCCACGGGGACGCACCGCGACGCGTAAAAACACGTGGTTCCAAGTCGGGAAAATAATGTTAAGTACTCGACTGGGCGGCCGAGACACGTAAAAACACAGGGTTCCAGCTCGGGACAATCATGTTAGAGATCTCCCTGGGTGGCCTGAACATGAACAAAAACACGTGGTTCCAGCTCGGGACAGCAATGTTAGATACCTCCCTGCGTGACCTAGATACGCTGAATTCGCGCTCCCGCTCGAGACATCCTCGCAATGCCTTCCCTGGAAAGGCCCCCAAAGCGCAACCCCCTGTTCAGAGCAAGAACGCATCACTTTGCTGTATTGGGGCATGTGTTCGGGTAGCACGGTTCGGCCCCCCGTGCGGTTCATCATGATTCGGCGTTGGGCCCGACGCCATGTTGGATACCCCCTCTGGGCGGCCTGGACACATTAAAACAAGTGGTTCCAATTCGGGACAATCATGTTAGATACCCGACTGGGTGGCCTGGACACGTAAAAATTCATGGTGTCAGCTCTGGGCAACCATGCTAGATACACCCCTGGGTGGCCTGGACATTTTAAAACACGTGGTGTCAGCTCGGGGCAACCATGCTAGATACCCCCCTGCGCGGCCTGGACACGTAAAAACGTAGGTGCCAGCTCTGGGCAACCATGTTAGATACACCCCTGGGTGGCCTGGACATGTCAAAACACGTGGTCCTTGCTCGGGACAACCATGTCAGATGCCCCCCTGGGTGGCCTGGACACGTAAAAACACGTGGTGCCAGCTCGGGACAACCATGTTAGATACACCCCCGCGTGGCCTGGACACGTTAACAACACATGGTTCCAGCTCGGGACAATCATGTTGGATACCCTCCTGGGTGGCCAAGACATGTAAAAACACGTGGTTCCAGCAAGAGACGACCATATTAGATACCCCCCTGCGCGGCCTGGAGACGCTGAATTCGCGCTCCCGCTCGAGACATCCTCGCATTGTCTTCCCTGGAGAGGCCCCCAAAGCGCCACCCCCTGTCCAGAGCAAGAAAACATCACTGGGATATGGATTCGGGTAGCGCTTTTCGGTCCCCCGTGCGTTTTCTGATAATTCGGCGTTAGGCTCGACGCAATGTTGGATATCCCCCCTGGGCGGCCTGGACACGCAAACATACATGGTTCCAATTCGGGGCAATCATGTTAGGTACCTGACTTGGTGGCCTGGACACGTAAAAACACATGGTGCCAGCTCTGGGCAACCATGTTAGATACCCCCCCCTGGGTGGCCTGGACAATTGAAAACACACGGTTCTAGCGCAGGACCACCAAGATACCCTGGGTGGCCTGAACATGTTCGAACACGTGGTTCCAGCTCGGGACCACCATGTTAGATACACCCCTGGGTGAGCTGAACACGTCGTCTGGTGCTTCCAGCTCAGGACCACCATGTTAGATACCCCCCTGATGGCCTGCGCACGCAAAATTAAGGTTCCAGCCCACACAGGGGGGGATATCCAACATGCGGCCGTCTGGGGCGCCAGCGACGGACAACCATGTTGGATACCCCCCTGGCCGACCTGGGCACGTGAAAACAAGCATTTCGCCTGAGACATCCTTTGAACTCTGGCCCCCCACGAGGCCCCCGCTCGAGACATCCCCCAACTCTGCAAAACCAGCGTGTCGCTCGAGACATCCTGAAAACAAGCGTTTCGCTCGAGGCATCCTCAAATTTTAATCCGCCTGCCCACCTCGACCTCGATAATTATCAGGACAAGAATCCGCCGGCCCACCTGAGTCATGGCACGGGGGACAGTTTACAAACTAAAAGAGAACCCTGGGCCCAAGCCCTTTCTGGGAATAGAATAGTACTCAATGAAACATGCACATATGGCACCAACTCCGTAGATCGCAAGACGTACTATCATCCATCTCGCGCTTACATGCGACTTCGCGTGGTCGGCACGCCTGTCAGTCAGACCCCTGAAGCGAATGGCTGCATGCCGCTGGCCAACAGGCAACTTGGTGCAGCATTGCCTGGCGTGTCTGAAAGGAGTGTGCACGTCACGCACGTGGAGGAACGAACACGATATTCAAAATCTTCTCCCCAGTCTCGCTGCCCCTGCATTGATGACCGCATACACAAATTGCAAGAGAGAGCGCGGAGTCCCCGAGGAATGTAGTTGTCCGAAAAGACTCGCCCGGCCCAGGTAATGACCTGCCACATAGAGCCTACCGCTGGTCCGATGCATCCCGGCTTTCCTATTCTCGTCCGCTGCGAGCTTACCGAATGCATTTGCCCAGCCAACACGCCGACTGCCCAGCGGGTATGGCAATTAGACGCGCTCGCAACTGAACATAACGCGGGCGAAAAGACGACGGCATCAAACGGCGATCATCGGCCACACCGCCGTGCGGGCGGCACCAGACGAGCAGGATACAAAATACTCGTGTGAGACCCCCCTGGCTCGGGGCACGGAACACTTGCGCCAGCCACCACACGCTGCCCCGTTGCCAGCTCAGGGGGAAACATCGGGTCCGAAGATCCAGGCCGCTACTCTGCATCATGTTTCGGCAGGGATGGTTGGGCCGGGGGCCAACACGTTGCCGATGTGTGCTGTGAAGTGGCCTGGCGCACCTGGCGCCCTCTGCGAGCGATGCGCACGTGGCACACCAGGAGGTGCTGGAGCACGTGGCACACTGCGCGCATGAAAGGCACGTGAGCATCTGGCGCACCCGACGCGCCTGTCACGCTGGTGCCCCTGGGGGCACCTAGCGCATTTGGTCCGCGTGGTGCACCTGGCACGCGCGGCGCACCTCGCCATGTGCCTGACACCCGCGTCGCGCACCTGGCTGGCGTTTGCATTGTGTCCCGATGGTTGTCGATGGCGGCCCTGCCTAATTTGAAGCTCGAGTGCTACTTATGTAGCGCGAGGGCGGGCGGGAATGAACGAGACAGTTTGCGACCTTCCCGCTGGGAACCTGATCGCTGTTCCCTATTCTAGAACATCCCCTCTCGCCAAGGACCGGCTGCCAACCAAGGCCCATGACGACCCCCCCCACCGTCCGTGTCCCCCAAACAATTGCATGTGGACAGAACCATGTGCAGCTGCGAGCACCGCGAGGCAGGTGAATGGGAGGACGTGATCCTGGCAGGAGGATCTGGACGTGGGCTGGGACGCACAGAGGACGTGGGCGAGCGGCGGGCCTCAGTTCGGCCACGGCCTCGCCAAAGAGCTGGGTCCCGCGGGGTCTATCCGCGAGGCCAGACTCGAGGAACGGCCCGCCCGAGCCTCGCCTTCTCTCGACTGCCCCGCTGTACGGTCTCGGGCCGCGGACGACCCGCGGGTCGCGGACGACCACACATCTTGCACCACGTAGCTCACGCGACGTAGATTGTGCTGCGTGGCATTCACAACCTGAGTTGCACGACGCAGCTTACACCGAGTAGCTCGCATCGTGTGGGCCACAACGCACAGATTGCACCACGTGGGTTGCACCACATGGCTCACACCACACAGTTTGCTCCAAGCAACTTGCGCCAGATAGCTTGCACCTCACCACTTACAACATGCAAATCGAATGACACAGTCTGCCAGGAACCACAATGTGGCGTCCACGCTGGCTAACACAATGAATGTGTGTATTGGACGAGTAGGCCAGAAACCCGCGACCTTTGCCCAGTGATTCGCTCAAACAGCGACAAGCGAAACATGTCAATGCTGCTCGTCGTGTCTAACACTGCTCTTCACCGCATGACCGCGTAGAGTTCGATGCCGCATCGGAGCTCTGGCCGAACGAGTTCAAGTGCGGCAAGGCCGGCAAGTCCTGCTGTCTCCTCGGCAACGTTTTTGCTGAGCGCAAGCAAACACATGCAAATGGCAATTCCATGCGCACCAGAGATGGCCGATAGTAGCAACTCGTTCAAATCACATCCGTGCTTTGTTCGATGCCAGGACCCCAGGAGGCCCCAGAGGTCTGGGCAACCTCCCTACGACTGGCTGTTCATCCTGATTGAGTGTCTGCCGGCCCTGGGGCCCGTTGAGGCCCCTGGAGGCCGAAAACGGCCACAAGCTGGGCGCTCCAACTGCTTCGGAGCCTCTGATCTCTTGGCAGAACAGAGCACACCGAACCCCGCGAGGCCTCAGGGGGCCAGCGGCCACCGCAGCGCTCCACAGCGGCGCCTCCCCCCCGAGAGCACGACGCCAACACGCGTGATGGAGCGCGGCGACCGCCCCCTCGCGGGTGCTCCGGCCGTGCGCCAGCGGCCGACGAGTTCCGAGAGGGGTCGAAGCATTTTGTTGGACGGATCTCTCAGGCTGTCCGCCTAGTTGGGTCAGTCGGCCAGCGGGGCCGGAGCCAAGGCCATGCCTGTGGTGGCTGGGATGGGTTAGTGCTGGCGGAGGAGTCTTTTTTGCTGAGGCATCTCTCGAGCTCTCCGCCGCTTCAAGCGGTGCTCGCTCAGAGCAGGAGCGCAGCAAAGCCACGGGAGAGCGTGGCATTGGCAGTGTAACTCCGTACGCGCGTCAGGTGTTCTGGCGAGCAAGAGCACAGCAAAGCCACAGGAAAGCGAGGCATTGACAGTGTAGCTCAGCATCAACACAATGTCTGGGGAGCCCCCGCGACATGTTCACGAGCGTTGCTCCACCCCGGGGAAGTCCCAACAACATTAGCACATGTAATTCCAAAGAGGGCCGCGTGGATTGCTTGGAACGGCGCTGGATCCCCCTCCCTGGCGCGTGGAGCGCGCCAGGGGCGGCGCCGGAGGTGCCTCGAAGGGGGGTCCAAAGCCGATCCAATGTCGTGCGGACCTCCGAAAGTGTACGTTTACGTCATGTATTGCTCCTCGATGCGCCTCCCTTCTCTCTCCTCTCTTTCTCTTTATCTCTCTCTCTCTCTCTTTCTCTCTCGCTCCGCCTCCTCCTCCCCGTCCTCCCCCTCCTCCTCCTCCTCCGCCCTCGTCCTCCCCCGCCCTCTTCCTCCCCCTCCTCCTCCTCCTCCTCCTCCTCCTCCTCCTCCTCCTCCTCCTCCTCCTCCTCCTCCTCCTCCTCCTCCTCCTCCTCCTCCTCCTCCTCCTCCTCCTCCTTCCTCCTCCTCCTCTCCTCCTCCCTCCCTCCTCCTCCTCCTCCCTCCTCCTCCTCCTCCTCCTCCTCCTCCTCCTCCTCCTCTTCTCCTCTCGCGCGATCCGCCTCTCCTCCTGCTGGAGGGCCCCGGGGGCACGGGCGCCGGGCCGCCGCGTCCGCCGGAGCCACCGCGGCTCCCCCTGCAGCAGCCTGGATGGCCTCCTCCGGCCTCGGGCAGTGCCCGCGCGACGAGGACGGGGGCCTCCTCTGGCGGCCTCGGCGCAGCCCTGCACTCGATCGGGGCGCCCGCCGCGGCCGCCCGGCGCCTCCTCCCCCTCGGGGGCGCCTCCAAAACGGGGGAGGGAGGCGTCCAAGATCAGCATGAAGGAAGAACGGGTCCTGCAGGGAGCGGGTCCTGGACCCTGGGGCCTTCCTCCAGGACCAACGTGTTTCGTCCTGAGTCGCTGCCACCGTGGGGCCGAGGGTGCACGAGCATGGAGGGGGGGCAGCAGTGGCAGGGACCGTGTGGAAAAAAGACGGGGGCGCCATGACATCTGGGAAGCTATCGTGGTCCTGGTCATGAGATCCCCCCAGTCATCACCCTCCTCTCTGCCGTCCCCGATGCCGCTCCTGCGCAGCAGCTCCTTCTTTCTGGCGACCCGAGCGTATCGGTGCCACCTGGCAGCCTGCTGGCGCGCGCGACCACTGCCCGGACCCCCCGGGGTCCCTCGTGTGGTAGGCCCCCGGCGGAAGCCTCCGGAGAGGCCGATGGAGGCGCGACGACGTCCGAGAACCATGGTCCACGACCCTCCGCCCTCTTCCCCCTCCTCCTTCTCCTCATCCTCCTCCTCCTCCTCCTCCTCAACCTCCTCCTCCTCCTCCTCCTCCTCCTCCTCCTCCTCCTCCTCTTCCTCCTCCTCCCCCTCCCCTTCGCCCTCCCCCTCCCCCTCCTCCCCCTCCTCCTCCTCCTCCTCCTCCTCCTCCTCCTCCTCCTCCTCCTCTGCCTCGTCCTCATGGCGGTCCTAGCGGCTCCACGGGACCTCCCGCAGCCCGGCCGTCCCTGCGGCTCCGCTGCAACCCCAGGTTGGCCTCACGTCGAAGCTGGCCCAGGTTGTGCAGCCCGGACAGAGGCGGGTGGCGTCAAGACGCACATGCCACTTCCGCAACTTCCTCACTCCTCCTCGTCCTCCTAATCCTCCTTCTCCCCCTCCGTCCTCTCCTACCCCTCTCCCCACTCTTCACTCCGCCTCCCCCTCCTCCTGGGAGGCCCCACCCGCACGCTCCACGTACGGGTCGGATCGAGGGGGGGCGTTCGGACCAACGACGGCACGTCTCCTGCTGCCGAGGCCGCACATGCGCCGCAAGCAGTCGCACGCGCGGTCGAAGCGCGACTGGCCGTTCGAGGCCTCCCCGGAATCAGAGGGGGGGATGAGCAAACAACGACAACGACGACGACGGACGACGATGGCGGGGAGGCTGCACGACGCTGGCGGAGACTGCGGCTGCGACGGCGGCGACCGTGGCGACGGTGGCGAAGACAACGATCACAACGGCGGAGGTGGCAACGAGGACAACGACGATGAATCGTAATTGATGGAGTGAAGTGGAGGAGAATCTCAGAAGAGGGATGAGGAGGAGGAGGCGGAGGAGGAGAGATATCTGTCCTGCTTGGGAGGGGGAAGGCAGAGAGAGAGAGATACAAAAAAACGACCAATCCAAAGTAATCAGAAAAGCACCGGGGATATCAATCTAAATTTATACATAACATATCTAGAGAGAGAGAGAGAGAGAAATAAAAAAAAGAAAAAAAGAGAAAGAGAGAGAGAGAGAGAGAACACAACACAGATAACGGGAAAGAGAAAGAAAAAGCGGGAGAGACATATGTATATGTATATATGTATATATACAGAGAGAGACAGAGAGAACAAAAAAAAGGGAGAGTGGTTCTGGAAGCCTCCTGGAGGCCTGGAGAGCCGTCGGAAGGGTGACTCGGGCTGCGCAGGAGCGTGTTGGGCCGTTCTTTGCGTTCTGGGGGCTCCTTGGGGTCGTCTTGGGCTGTCCTTGGGCTTCGTGGGGGCCACCTGGCAAGCCGGGAGGCGCGGTACCGGCCAGATGTCAGGGTATGTGTGGGATCTCCGAATAGGAGTCCACTTTGAAAAAAAAAACTTCTTGGAATCCCCTCTTTTTCCCAACCATCCTGTGTTGGGCTCTCGTTTTGAATAGAGCAGTGTGGTCGCCCCGTCCTTCCTCCTTCCTCCTCCCCTCTCCTCCCCTCCTTCTCTCCTGTTTCCTGTGTTCCACTCTCCTCTTCTCTCGTGCAGTCGGGCTGCGATCTGCGAAACTGTCGGCACTTTCGTGGGCTCCTGGGAGGCTCAGCGGAAGTACGCCATACGCGGACCACCACTATAGCTCGCGGTGCCCTTGGGGGCTGCGATCCGCGAAACTGTCGGCACTCTCGTGGGCTCCTGGGAGGCCCAGCGGAGGTACGTCATACGCGGACCACCACTATAGCTCGCGGTGCCCTGGGGGGCTGCGATCTGCAAAACTGTCGGCACTTTCGTGGGCTCCTGGGAGGCCCAGCGGAGGTACGTCACACGCGGACCACCACTATAGCTCGCGGTGCCCTGGGGGGCTGTCATCTGCGAAACTGCCGGCAATTTCGTGGGCTCCTGGGAGGCCCAGCGGAGGTACGTCATACGCGGACCACCACTATAGCTCGCGGTGCCCTGGGGGGCTGCGATCCACGAAACTGTCGGCACTTTCGTGGGCTCCTGGGAGGCCCAGCGGAGGTACGTCATACGCGGACCACCACTATAGCTCGCGGTGCCCTGGGGGGATGCGATCTGCGAAACAGTTGGCACTTTCGTGGGCTCCTGGGAGGCCCAGCGGAGGTACGTCATACGCGGACCACCACCACTATAGCTCGCGGTGCCCTGGGGGGGCTGCGATCTGCGAAACCGTCGGCACTGCCGTGGGCTCCTGGGGGGCCCAGCGGAGGTACGTCATACGTGGACCACCACTATAGCTCGCGGTGCATCTGCGAAACTGTCGGCACTTTCGTGGGCTCCTGGGAGGCCCAGCGGAGGTACGTCATACGCGTACCACCACTATAGCTCGCGGTGCCCTGGGGGGCTGCGATCTGCAAAACTGTCGGCACTTTCGTGGGCTCCTGGGAGGCCCAGCGGAGGTACGTCATACGCGGACCACCACTATAGCTCGCGAAGCCCTGGGGGCTGCGATCCGCGAGACTGTCGGCACGTTCGTGGGCTCCTGGGAGGCCCAGCGGAGGTACGTCATACGCGGACCACCACTAACTCGCGGTGCTCTGGGGGGCTGCGATCCGCGAAACTGTCGGCACGTTCGTGGGCTCCTGGGAGGCCCAGCGGAGGTACGTCATACGCGGACCACCACTATAGCTCGCGGTGCCATGGGGGGCTGCGACCTGCGAAACTGTCGGCACGTTCGTGGGCTCCTTGGAAGCCCAGCGGAAGTACGTCATACGCGGACCACCACTATAGCTCGCGGTGCCCTGGGGGGCTGCGATCTGCGATACCGTCGGCACTTTCGTGGGCTCCTGGGAGGCCCAGCGGAGGTACGTCATACGCGGACCACCACTATAGCTCGCGGTGCATCCGCGAAACTGTTGGCACGTTCGTGGGCTCCTGGGAGGCCCAGCGGAGGTACGTCATACGCGGACCACCACTATAGCTCGCGGTGCCCTGGGGAGCTGCGATCTGCGAAACCGTCGGCACTTTCGTGGGCTCCTGGGAGGCCCAGCGGAGGTACGTCATACGCAGACCACCACTATAGCTCGCGGTGCCCTGGGGGGCTGCGATCCGCGAAACTGTCGGCACGTTCGTGGGCTCCTGGGAGGCCCAGCGGAGGTACGTCATACGCGGACCACCA